GAAACTTCGGAAGAAAAGATAATTGTTCCAGCAGGTGTAGGGTGCCCAGTTTGAGGCATGGGGGAAGGAGAACTGCTTGTTTGAAGGGCCCTTGGGAAGTTCCGACTCCCATATTCATTTCATGCACGCTCCCTGAGCATTTACCATATACCAGGCTGCAGGGTTGCAGGGAGGTAGCAGGTAGCTCACGGGCCTCCTGTGCTGAATCCTCAGGGCATAGAGGCCTAGGAGAGCACCTGCCAGACTGCAAGTGAGCCAGGGCAGGGCAGAGCATGCTTTCCATGGGACTCGAGGAAACAATCATTTTAGGAGGTCGCAGGATCCCAGGATAGACTGGAGACTGTGACAAAGCAATCTACCTGTATTAGAAATGTATGGAACAACCACAGTGAGATGTTGCTTCACACTACCTGGCTCTGTGTACTGTGTTTGCACACAGAATCTGGAACGGCCCAGGATGAGTCCTGTTCTGTTGCAGGGGTGATTCTGGGAAAAACAATTTTGTGATGAGCTCTCAGATCCAAGATTGGAGGACCTGCCTGAAAGGAGGGTGCTTCAGAAACTCCACAGAGAATGAATGTAGATGACATTTTTCTCCCGAAAGGTCCACCTGCCTCCATTCACTGACTTCTGTGCCTTTGCAAGTGTTGTTCTCTCTGCCTGGAATCCCCTTTCTTCTCTTCTTGGCCTGAAATCTTCTTATGTATCCTTTTAGATTTTGCTCAGTGGTTACCACGTCCTGGAAACTTATCATGTACAACATTGCATTTTAATTGTTCATATTTGTGTGTTCCCAGTGCCTCCCACAGTGCTTGGCACAAAGCAGATGCTTCGGACAGCTTGTGTTGAATGAAAGTGATGGAAGGAGTGACGGTTACAGGCTGCCCAAGCCAAAAGGATGCATCAGGAGAAGGCAGGGGGAGGAAAGGGGCATCTGATTAGTTAGAGTAGAGGGTCCCAGAGGAAAGTGACAGAAAGCCAGTGCAGAAGCACAAAGGACAAGAGACAAGCCGCGAATGGAGACTCAGGAATGAGAGCAGGATGGTGCTGAGGAGAGAGGGGACTTGTGTGGGCAGTTGGTTGGTGACCTCTGGCAGGCATGTTCCTTCCTGTCTGCCCCATAGGCCTGGCCACATGCACTTGACCTGTGCTTTGCAGGCATGTTTCACTGGAGGAGGGGGCCCAGGAGCCTCCTTCTTCTCCTGAGAAGCCTTCCTGGAGCTCCTGGCAGCAGGAGAGGTCCAGAGAGGAAGCACAGGGACACCATTCTGCCTTCCAACAGGGAATAGCCCCTGCTCCCTTCAGTGGGAAGCTTGCTCCAGGAGGGATGCTGACTCACTCACTTCCAGGGCCACCCTCAGTGACAAGAGGGACAGTGGGGTCTTGGGACTGCTTTCCCTCCCTCTTGTCTCTCAGCAGCTACAATTTGGAAGTCCCAAGAGAGGCCCCCTGATGAGGGATGGCTCCTTCTGGGCTCGGGAAGAAGATCGAGGGCAGCTGCAAATCCAAGCAGAACCATAGGTACTACCTCCTCAGTCCCTTCCATTGCCCCCCGGCCTCCTCTCTCAGTTCCCCAAGCCCACACATCCAGCCCTGAATTCTACCACACCCCTGTCCAGACTCCAGCCACCTCCCAGGGAGATCTCAGGAACAGAAAGACCACGCATTTACCCAAGTCAAACTAAAGTAGCCAGAAACAGAGGGCCGTCTCAGGAAGTGGGGTGCATTTTGCAAGTGGAGTCCTAAGAACTCCAGTGATTCCCTAATTAGTGGCATTCAGGATGTGGATTTTCAGGAACTTAAGGGTGGAGAATTTCAGGTTGAGAGAGGGTCAGCCTGCAGCTGGCACCTCACATTTCCCGGCTGAAGACGTTGTCAAGCTGATCCCCCAGGAATTCTGTAGTAGGCCTACTAGTCTTACCCAGGATTGGATCCCAGCTGTCCCTCCCTGCACTACAGCAGTGGTGAAGCTGGTCTGAGTCTTCTAATTCCATGCTCTCTCCACTCTGCTGCTGTAGCACAGGGGAGGAACCCTGCTGGTGTGGAGAGCTGGGCCATAGCTACTTCCTTCCCCTAACTGATGTCCTCTATGACCAAAGTGTCTGAATGCACCAGGATTCTCCTCTTCAAGGCCCTGCTCTTCAGAAGCCTACCTTCCACCCCATCACATTGGAGCCAATGTGAGTGTTGAATTGGACAAGCCACCAACTCATCAGAAGGGTAGCATAAATCCAAGGTAGTCTTTATAACCATCGTCGAGATATGCAGTGATGCTTCTGGAACACTGTAATATGTGTCCACTCCAAAGCCACATGGATGTGCTTTCTTGCTTATTTGGGGGTCATGCTTTTTCAATCCAGAGCCATTTCATGCCTTTGTATGAAGAATGTTGGGATCCTCCAATAAGATGGCCCTGAAATCTGGTGGCAACTCAAAGTCAAAGTTTTCTAGAGGGGATGATGAGGGTGTCATCCTGTGTATGGCTCAGGGTCTTTCCTCAATACCTAGGTCACTCATGGTTTTGTCCAAACAGGCCAGTGAGGCTTTAGGCCTCTACCCAGGGTGAGACACTGAGCAAGAGATCTGAGGTGGGCAGCAGATTGGCAGCAGGGTCTTTTGCACTTGCTGGAGAGAGGACAAGAGGGACACCTGGATGTTCTGATTTTTATTTTCATGAGAGCACCACTAGAGTACAGCACTGGGCCTCCAGGGAAGTTGAGACAGTCCAGGCACATCCACTTCTCAATGATTGGGAATGTGAGGCCTTGGGGTAGTCCAATTTTTCCCATATCTCTCCATGGACAGGACTATATGCTCCCCTTGGCATTTTGGCTTGTCATAGCAAAAGAATACATTGACAATTCATTTGTATGTTAGCGTCTTGTTCCCAGGGCTAGGCAGCCCCTCCCCCCAGTCTAGTCATCTTTGGGGGGACTATGGACCTGTAGAGCAGTGGTTCAGTTCTGGGACTCCCTGGGACCTCACCTAAGTAGTGCCTGCCCTCAAGGCTCTGGACTCGGAGCAGCTTGCCTGGTCTCTGTGAAGCTCCTGAAAGGGCAATAGTGTGATTCAAGTGTCTTAACTGACAAATAATCTCACTCTTAATGCCTGTTTGGGGTGAGGCCGCCAGTAATTAAGCTGGTGCTAGTCAATCTGGCCACTGGCAAGTACTTCTTTTTTTTTTTAAATGTCTAATTTTTTTTTTTTTTTTTGCAGGGAAAGATTCACCCTGAGCTAACATCTGTTGCCAATCTTCCTCTTTTTTCTTTTTTACTCCCCAAAGCCCCAGTACATGGTTGTATATGCTAGTTGTAAGTCATTCTAGTTCTCCTATGTGAGCCACCACCACAGCATGGCTCCTGACAGATGGGTAGTGTGGTTCCACAATCGGGAAACGAACTGGGGCCACCAAAGCTGTGAGTACCAAACTTTAACCACTAGGCTGTCAGGGCTGGCTCAAAAGTACCTTTTTTTTGCAGTATGGGCTGCAGGTTTGGCAGGACTTCAAGTTGCATCTTTGCTCCTACATCCTTACTAGTTGGGAGGCTCAGGGCATGTTATATAAGCCTCCCTGTGCCTCAGCTTTCTCTCCTGTGTTTAAATGTTCACTGGGAACCTCCTCAGGGGTAGACACTGGACTCCACCTGGAGGATGGGCAGGAGAGCTGGACCCAAACCTGGGACAGGGTTCTGGTGCTTCAGCATCTGACAAAGTTGATTCAGTTATTCATCCTTAGAAACAACTCATATAATATCCATTACCCAGTGGGTTTGGGAAGCCTAATTACCAGTTGTGAAATGTTTTCAAGTTCTCAGAAGAAGGGTGATACATCATAGCAAAGTAAGACTATCATAGTTGTGATCTTCTCAAGCTGCCCCCAGGGCTAACCCTTATAAAACTGCCATTCATGAAATTCTGCTATTGTAACAAAGTACGACTATTATCCATAATGATACTAGACTAATGTCTAAGGTATTGCTGTGCTCATGGAAAACTCTTAAATCAGCCGGAAGTGAAGAGGATAGACTAGGTCACTTGCTGTGAGTTTATCCTGTTCTCCAATCCTGAAAGTAAATAGACTCTTTGAGGAGGCAGGCACCTGAAAGAGCACCAGACAGCAACAGCATTCTTTGAGTACCTAGTGTGCATCAGGTAGTGTGTTATGCACACTATCTCACTGATTCTTCCCAACAAGTTTAGGAAGTAGGTTTTATCATCTCCAATTTGCAGAGGAGAAAAACTGAGGCTCAAAGATGTTGACTTGCCCAACGAAGATGAACCTGGCAGTTATAAATAGAATGGCCTGGAGTGGAGGAGGAGGCCAGGTGTGAGGTGACCACAAAGTCCAGGCAGGAGCCAAGGAGCCTCTGAACTAGGTTAGCAAAGTGAGGATGACTCCCAGATTTCCACTTTGGGCATCCCCTCGTGAATAGGTCTACTGCCAACAGAGAGAGGCAACCCAGAAGGGCAAGGCGGTTGAGAGGGAACATGATTTTAGTGCAGGGTAACCTGAATTTGGCTTGGCCAGCATATCTTCACGTGCTGGCCTGGGCCTTGGGAAGGAAGTTGAGACGCAGAGTTTGGAGTCACTGACATCTTTGACAGGTGAAGCTTGGGATGAGATCGCCAAAATGCAACGTCTCACCGGTGGCCACTACCCCCAAGGCTCAGTTCTCGCTGGGGGAAATCTCCAGAAGGCAGTGCAGGCCAAGGTGGCAGGTGTCCGTGAAGACCTCACTGCGGGATTCCTGGGTGGCGCGCTCCCTCCCCTCAGGCCTGCACCGAGCCAGCGTCCCCGCTCGGCTCTCCTGTCTCTCCCAGCCTTCATCACCCAGCCGTCTCCTCCGGCCCCCGCGCGGAAACGCAAAGCCGGGGCCTCTCGGTGCCGCGAAGCAGGAGGGCGGTGTCCCGCGCGGCCCGCGGCGCTTCCAGAGCCAGCTGGCGGGGCTTGGGCGCATGCGCGACCGCTGTACGGAAGCCCGGAAGGAGGGGTGGGAGGCGGTGGCTCAGGTTTCTTGGGGCGGCGGCGGCGGCGGCGGCTCGCGCTGGCACCATGAGCCCGCTGTAACGCGCAGGCAGCGCGGCGCTGGGGGAGGGGGGAGGAGGAGGACGCGGCCGTGAAGTTCTCCGCCATGAACCTGAGGGGCCTCTTCCAGGACTTCAACCCGAGGTGAGGCGCCGACGGCTCAGCTCCAGGGAGGCGCGGCGGGCGTGATGCTACAGCGGGCGGCGGGGCAGCTGCGGCCCCAGGCGCTTGCCCGAGCCTCCCTACAGGAGCGAGCCATTCTCCGGGAAACCAGTCGGCCTCGGCGCCGGCTCGCTTCCTCCTTCCGCGCCCGGTGCCTTCAGCCCCCCGGTCCGCCGGGCCATCTAGAACCACGCGGCCACGGCCCTGGCGTCCCCGCGCCCGGCCCCGAGCCCTGCCCCGCCCCGCCCCGAGGGAACCCTCTGTCTCTCTGCTTGCCTTCCTTCATTGCTGTCCCAAGTTCCCCCTCTGCATTCCATCTTCTTGCACCCAGCTGCCTGCCCTCCATTCCCTGCGCCAGCGCTTTTTCACTTGAGACCCCCCCCAGCTGTTTCCACCAGTTCCTCTCAGTTCTTGAGGTTTTCTTTGGATGTATCCCATCCCTCGCTTGTTTGCTTCTTTGTCGAACTGATATCGGAAACATTGTCGAGTCCTTGGAGTCGGTGTCAGGGTATGGCAATACCTTACATAATGCCTTTGGAGGTGAACCTGAGAATTTTCCATGTGTGTTTTCTCATCAGCCTTCGCTATAAGTTATTTGCAGGAAGTGGATCTTGCTGTCCTGTTTCCCAGATGGAGAATATCCAGTGGACAGTGTGGAGAGAACATTGGCTAAGGAATCAAGCGTCTGTCCTTGCACTTGCCCAAGTGTTTTGGAACTCTGTTGCCTCCCCCCAGGCTGTGAGCTCCCTGAAACAGAGTCCATCTCCTGCTCATCTCACTATCCCCAGAGCCTCCCACCATCTGACACATAGTGGACGCTTGTAAAATGTTTGTGGAACTAAACTGAGCCAAAAGACCTGGATTGGAGACCAGGCCATATGTAACTGGGTGATTCTCTGCTCATCTGAAAAATAAGGAGTTGACCTAATCTCTTAAGTCCACTCCTCTTCGATGAAGAGAGTACCTATTTCCCTTATTTGCTGGTGGGATGCCATGCACTCAATAAACTTGTTGTGTGCTAGGTCCTATGCTGGGTGCTTCAGATGCTGGGAGGTCCCAGCTTGGGGGTGGAGAAAGGCATGTAAATAGATGATTTACAGCACTGTGCAGTATCCTACTCTGGGCGCCCAGTGGAGACCGCTGTCTGGGCTGCTTGTGGGGGAAGAAAGGAAGTCTTGGGTGGGTGTGTGTGTGTGTTTTGGGAGTGCAGTCTCCTTAGGGAGAGTGACATTTTAAGCTACAAGCCATTGTGACTGCTTAGGTGCTCTTATTCCTCTTTGAGCACTACTGAGTTCATATTCTGGTCTGGAGTGCCAATGTCCCAATCACAGTGCAGGCATGATCATTGTTGGCCTTGAAGGCACTCTGCATAGAGGAGCTTTTTGAGAACAGCTGAGGGAGAATTAACTGCAGTGCCTTCCTCTGCTGCTCCTAGGGGTTAGGATTGGTCTGCAGGGTAGCAGGACTGGTGCTGGAGTTGGACAGGCCTTGTGTGTCTACATTGTTTGGTGATGGTGATAAGAAAGATAAGTAAAAGCTCAATTGGTTTGTGTCCTTGGGCCACTCACTTATCTGTCTGTTTTATCTGAGGAATGAGTATAATCTCAGCAGGATAGGGAGGCCAATCAATGATTGCTTGCAAAGTGCTTTACAAATAGAAAGTTCCAGGACTATTTTGCAAGGTGACAGATAATTCAGGAGCCACAAAGAACTGCCTCAAGGGATCTAACTAGCTAACAGAGTTGCCAAAGCAAAATAGTGCTGCACAGATAACATCCTTAACCATTTTCTCCTGTAGCTTTTTCCCCCCCAAAAATTGGTATATGCAAGTTACAATGGAATATTAGGTATCAAAACAGATTTATAGTAATCATGAACAAATGTGTCAACATCTTAATTCTACCAGGATTGGAATGCGTCTCTCCCTGAAAAGTTTAAAGATCTTTTATAGGGTGCCATTTTCCTGATTCAGTGTTGAGTCAGTGGGAGTGAGTAGTGTTACCTCACAGTGGTGACTGCTAAGACAGTGGCCAGGTAATATTGGCAAGGCTGGTTTTTTAGATGGTGGTGTGTCACATCTCGTGGGCACACCTGGTTTTTGACGTTGTTCTTGTTCTGTGCTGAGGAGAGCCTTCTAGACAGCTAGAGAGCAAACTGAGGGGAGTAAGGAAGATACCTTGTGTCAGGACCTCAAACCTGCCTTGCTCCCTGCCTCTAATTCAGAGCCAGTTCAACATCTCCCACCTACCCCAGGACCTTGGCACATACTGTTTTCTTTGCCGGGAATGTTTCCTTCTCCTCTCTTCTCTCCTCCTGACCTAGTTAACTCCTATTTATCCTTGGGATCTCAGCTCACTTGTTACTTGCTGAATGACGCTTTTCTGACTTCCTGGACCAGGTCCACTGATCCCTGTTTGTACACTAGCTGTAGTATGCTGTACTCCTCCATCATGGCACTTATTTGTACCCTTATATTTCTCTGTGTTCTTATTTGATTAATGCCTGTCTCCCCTACTAAGCGATAAGCTCCATGGAGCCAGGGCTATGACTGTTCATTATGATATTCTGCATACGTGGAATAGTACCTGGCTCAGTAAATATTTGTGGAATGAATGAATGAATGAATTACTCTCCAGAGCCTATAAGAGAAATCTAGAGCTGCTTCTTTCAATTGCTGCTTTCCTGGTGGTCTGTGGCCCGGTTCTCTTTCCTCTCCTCTTCCTTCCTTCAGAAAGCAGTCATTTCATTGGAGAGACAGGAAAGACCATCACTCTGAGGCAGAACGTAGCTGCCTTTACTTTGCAGATTATGTCTCTGTCACAGAAATAGTCACTATCATGGCTTGGTGGGTCCCAAGGCATGGGCCATGTCTCCAGATCGCTTTTCTAACCTTTTGATCTTGGTGAGTCTGAACCTGCTGCTGTATTGCCAAGGCTCTGGAAAATTGCAGTGACAGAGAATGATTCAGAAGTGTCAACACTCAGATCCACAGGGCTGCCAGCTGACCCTCTGCCTACTTTCTGGCACAGAACTGGTTGATCATGAACTTCTTTTTAGTTACACAGGTTAAGCCTTGCTGAAACAGACACACTGGACCCACCAAGTCCTTCCCTGAATACCTGAAGTTTCCTAACAGCTAGGGAGCACTATTCATTGAATAGGCAAGCTATTAGAATGATACAGAATTGCCAAACTGTGTTTCTTGGGTGTTCCTGAGAGATAGGGATCTGGGAGTAGGTGGCATTAAGCTGGCACCCACACCACGGAGCCTTGAGATTTTCTGCTACCTTGGTGGAGTTGCTGGCTCAGAAAAGGCCCTTCAGCCCTGGTAGCCAGGCAGCGCTCAAAGGCTGTGAGAACTCTGCTAGGCCTTCTGAGTTGTCCACAGTGAGCTCCTGATGGAGTGTGGTGCATCCTGCAGGTGTGCTAGATTGGGACGAAGGCTGAGGACCACTGCTCTGGGCGTTCCACTGTATGGGTATGGAATGCTGAGGAGGTGAGTAGTGTTTAGAAACTTCCACATGCTGCAATTTCTAAAGCCATTCTGGAATCTATGTAGGTTATCTTGTCTCTTATTTGAAGTCAGAAAAAATGAATGTGATTGCTAGTAATTGTTAACAAAAGGCAGCTATCTGGCCTTCAGCGGTCCTTTGTAAAGACTTTATATTGAAAGCATTCATTCGTCAAACATCTCCCGAGTTCCTACTGTGAGCCAAGAGATGTGCTAGGTGCTCTAAGTGCAAAAATAAATGGGATATAGTCCCTCTCCATGCTCAAGCCCAGTGGAAGAAGCAGAAACAGAAAGAGAAATTAAAATTCAACACAGGATGAGGCATTCCAGAGACAGGAACTAAATGCTGTGGGAGCACAAGGGGCAGAGCTACTAATTCTGTCTAGAGCAGGCAGGGAAGGTTCGACAGCTCAATCTTGAACGATATAATTGTCAAACCAGAGGGCAGGAAAGGCATCTTAGGAGGGACAAAGTATGCAAAGGCACGGGGGCAGGGGAGGGCCTGATATGTTCACACAGTAGTGAAAGGTCAGTGCAGTAGGAGCATTACAGGCAACACGTGTCATGTGATTTAAAAATACTACACGTAGTGTTAACAATTACTGCAAATGTTATTTACATATTACTGTTTTTTTAAAAAAATAGCAGGCTCCAGATCCATCAGTAGTGAGTGTATGTTGGTATTGTTAATGAACTACTCACTAGCCAAATGTCTGTTTATCTGTCTTACTTATAGTAAAAGAAAAGCCTCTTGATTATACTGAGGTTATTATTAATAATAGCTGCGACTTATGGGGCACCTACCACGTGCCAGGCACAATGTCAGTGCTTTGTATCCATTATCTTGAATCTTTACAACTCTTTAAGTTAGATATCAGCCTTGTTTTGCAGAGTCTTAGAAAGCTTGTGACTTCTGTAAAGTTGCACAGGCAGCAAGGGGCCAAGTCAGGATTCTAATGCAAGTTGGTCTCCTCCTGAAGCCTGTGCTCTTCTTTCCTGCGTGCCATACTGCCTCTCTAATTTAGTGACAGACCCCCATGACACAGTAGGTCCAGTATACTAAGGAGCCTTCTATGTACGAGTTGTATGTGATTAAACAAAGGAATCCTTCACATCCAAATGAGTATTATCCTTCAAAGAAGTTACTTAGGGAAAAGAGAGAGCTCTATATACCTATTCCATTGCTCACACTCCTTGTTGCTCATCGGGAATTGCTTTTGGAGTCAGATTACAAATCATATAAGGAAATCCATCTCATTGCTTTATAATCATATATCATTTTTGAACGAAAATAGTGCTACCTAGTTTGATCACACATCTTATTCACTAAACTTGGCTCTGACATTTGGCCATTTCCAATAATCAAATTCACTCTCGTTGAAGATTTGGCACCACTGAGGATATTCAAAAGAACAGACTGCAGGCTCTGAAGGCAATTCCAGGAGGAAAGTTCCAAAGATGGTTTGAGCAA